ATTTTTTTTGACATGCGCACACTGCACAAATATAGAGTTTCTCACTGTTTGCACATAATAACCAGTCTCCTACACGGTTTCTTTATATGTTTTTAACAGCAGAATTAATATTTATCCATTTATGGATAAATATACATATAAACCGCTGTGCCGTGCTGCTCATATTTATCACACAGTAAAAATGCCCCTCCCCGCACCCAAAACAGGTTGCCTGTGGATGAGAATCCAAAACACGGACTGGTGGGAGGTTGTCCTGCTGCACATCACAGTTGCCGAGTGAAAGGAGAGTTTTATAATGACAGGACACGCATTTATACAACACTTTATTCAGAAGGAAGAACCGCTCGTTCCACGCGTCATTGCACATGCGCAGTCCTTTCAGTTTCAGGGTTCAATCCGATCGAGTGTTTACATGCACTCTCAATCGTATTAGAAAAGGAATAAACCACCCCCTTCAGGACACGCATTTATACAACACTTTATTCAGAAGGAAGAACCGCTCGTTCCACGCGTCATTGCACATGCGCAGTCCTTTCAGTTTCAGGGTTCAATCCGATCGAGTGTTTACATGCACTCTCAATCGTATTAGAAAAGAAATAAACCACCCCCTTCAATCCAATCGAAATTTCATTCCGATCGAGCTCAATCGGATTGATTTAGGTATTTACATGAAGGCTTTTCAGTCCGATTGGGCCATCAATCCGATTACAAATGGATTATTTGGTTGCATGTAAACGTAGCCATTGATGCGTTTATTGTGTACACATCATTGACATTCACAGGGAACATTGCTGAAAAGAATAGCATGAATTCATTGTAAATCACTTTGAATTAAAGCATCTACTAAATGCATAAATTTTAATTTACATGTACATTTAGTCATTTATCAGACGCTTTTATCCAAAGCGACTTACAAATGAGGACAATGGAAGCAATCAAAATCAACAAAAGAGCAATAATATGTAAGTGCTTTGACAAGTCTCAGCTAGCCTAATGCAGTATGCAAGTTTTTTTTATATATATAATAAATAAAAAGAAAACAAGCAGATAGAATAGACAAAAAGAATAGGGGACGCTAGTGTTAGAGGGTCTTTTTCTAAATAAAAATAAAACAAGTCAAAAGAATAGAAAAAGAATAGAGAATGCTAGTGTTAGAGGGTCATTTTTTATAATAAATAAAAAGAAAACAAGTAGTTAGGATAGAAATAATGTTAGAGGGTCAAGTGTAGTTTTTTAGTTGTTTTTTTTATATATAAAAAAGAAAACAAATAGATTAAAAAAAGAGTTAGAATAGAGAGTGCTAGAGAGGGTCAAATGAAGATAATGTAATGTTAATATGATGTTGTCAGTGTTTCCATATACAGGGATGAAGTCAGTCTTTGAAATGAGGAAAAGTCTGAGAGCTTCGTCTCCGGAACCCAGCTGTGCGTCTCTGAAGAGCAATCAATCCATAAATCCTCCTCCTACATTCAGTCATGAATCAGTGACCTCTGACCTCAGGTAAGACACCGTCCAGTACTGAAGACAATAGACTTGATTTCTACAACATCACAGATTATCTGAACAAATATTGTGTTAATTACAGTGTAAAGATGTGCATGAATTATTATATCTTTGTGTCACCAGGAGGGGGAGTCAGAGAGCAGCATCACCAGCACCCAGCTGTGTGTCTCTGAAGAGCAATCAATCCATAAATCTTCCTCCTATATTCAGTGATGCAGCAGTGACCTCTGACCCCAGGTGAATGTAAATATGTATTTGGTTAACTGCTGTAGTGAAACTAGTGTGAGCAAAATCAGTGCACAGTGTCAGTGTTTACTTATATAGCAAGAGAAATCTAATGAAATGTACAGACCTAAATGGAGACCAAAATCTTAAGTTTACATGTCAGGAAAGTAATTATACTGTAGACATGCATATAACAAGAAGTTTGTCTGAAATGTGTTGCTGTTCCTTGTATATTTTATTCACAAACATGTATTTTAATAGTATTTTTATTTTTTGTATTTTATTACCAATTAGAGATGATCAGACTGGAACCCAGGATTCTCCTCAACCAGTGAATGATGAACTACAGAGAGTCAAAGACCAGCACAAAACCAGCATGAGGAGCAAGTATGAGAGATTATTTGAGGGACTGAAACTCCAGGAGAAGGAAACCCTCCTGAACAGGATCTACACACAGCTCTACATCATAGAGGGAGAGAGTGAAGGAGTGAATGAAGAACATGAGGTTTTACAGATGGAGAAAACACAATTTCTTGCTTCTTTCTATGTGTTTTACTGCTATTTAACAGAGAACATGGAGTCACTGCATTTTCTTCTGTATGAATTCAGATTTTACAGGTTTGAAGACTCTCTGTATGATTTACTAACATCAGCAATAGTTAAAGCTCTCAAGAGTGAAAATGGACAGTTGGATATGTTCCTGCGGTTCCTGCTGGGCGTCTCACTGGAGTCCAATCAGAGACTCTTACAGGATCTACTGACACACACAGAGAACAGCTCAGAGAGCATCAGGAGAACCACACAGTACATTAAAGAGAAGATCAAAGATCCAAATGGTTTCCATAATCTCTCAGCTGGTCAGTCCATCAATCTGTTCCTCTGTCTGCTGGAAGTGAAAGATCAGACTCTGTCCAGAGAGATTCAGGAGTTTGTGAAATCAGACAAACACTCAGAGAAGAAACTCTCTCCTGCTCACTGCTCAACAATCGCTTACATGCTTCAGATGTCAGAGGAGCCGCTGGATGAGCTGAACCTCAAGAAATACAACACATCAGATAAGGGGAGAAGAAGACTGATACCAGCTGTGATCAACTGCAGAAAAGCTCTGTGAGTGATAATTAATAACAAATGAAGAACCATGTTTAATAATGGATCTTGCATTTTTCACCCTATAGCCCAAGACTGGTTGCCCACTGAAGCTAAGCAGGGTTGAGCCTGGTCAGTACATGGATGTAAAACCTCCTGGGAAAACTAGGTTGCTGCTGGAAGAGGTGTTAGTGAGGCCATTAGGGGGTGCTCACCCTGTGGTCTGTGTGGGTCCTAATGCCCCAGCATAGTGACAGGGACACTATACTGTAAAAAGCACCATCCTTTGAATGAGGTCATTAAAAATTCCTTGGCACTTTTCATAAAGAGTAGCAGTGGTGGATAAAGTACTTAAAAGCCACACTTAAGTAAAAGTACAGATATCTTACCAGAAAATGACTTTGGTAGAAGTTAAAGTCACCATTTAGAAAATTACTTTAAAAGTTTTAAAGTATGTGATATTTATTGTACTTAAGTATGAAAAGTATTTTTTAAATATTCAACTTACTTGAGTGTATTGAAAGTAAAAGAACAAGTAAATTCAAAATAGAAAAGGAGCAAATAAATATTAAAAATTGTTCTATACACAGTTTGAGCAGCAACATCGTGTTCAGTTTTAACTCTTCCATTTTGTATCTTTGGTTTAGCATAAGAGACACTTCATCTGGTCATTCAAACATAAGAAAACAGTTTTTGCAAATATGGAATCTGCATCTGAAGTGGCATTTAGAATCAAGTTACACTACAGCACTTCAAATTATCTTTTTGCAGTGAGCAGGAATTTTTGAGGTCTTAAATGTGTAAATATTTGAATCACAGCAGTAGCTGAAGAAACAGTTAGGAGCTCGTATGATCTCTGATCTTAATGAACCTGAATTATAAAATGATCAGATTATCTCCTTACGATCAAGGGGCTCATCTTTTGTGATTTAGGCTGGAATGATAAAAATATTTTGTTTCACGTTCCTGAGGACATGCAACTGTCAACTTCCTTTACATGTCTTTATTGCTATTTCATTATTGTTTTAATTTTATGTTATTATTTCATTTCTTACAGTCTTGCTGGCTGTAATCTCACTGCTCAGTGTTGTGAGAGTTTGTTATCAGCTCTTCAATCCTCAAACTCTGTCCTGAGAGAGCTGGATCTGAGTAACAATGACCTGCAGGATTCAGGAGTGAAGCTGCTCTCTGATGGACTGAAGATTCCAAACTGTCAGATGCAGATACTGAGGTTTGATTTTCACTTTCAGTTTCATAAATTTTTTTATTGAAATAAAAGGGAAAATCCAAAGCAATTTCAGGTGAATTGTAATTGTATAGAGCTTTTCACAATCCAATTCCTTTCAAAGCTGCTGTCCTGAAAATTGTGCCTTAATGTCTTAAAGCCACAGTGAGCAGCAAAATGTGAAAAAATATTTTAAAATGTTTAAGTAGCAGAGAGAAAAATCTGTTCCTGGAGGGCTGCTGTCCTGCAGAGTTTAGCTCCAACCCTAATTAAACACACCTGAAACCACCTAATCAAGGTCTTCAGACTGACTAGAAACGTTGAGTTATGCATATAACTGCTGTTCCCAGAAGGAGGGAAACGAGGTACAACACATGACTATGAGATATTGCGCTTTTGCGCCATCTGCTGAAGACACCTATATTCATGCCTGAAAGGCCAATGACGCATGACGACGTGGGCGGGGCTACCTGCCCACAGCATATAAATGCAGTCGCATGCGTCATTCCCTTTGTTCAGTCCAGTTCTTCACCGTGCCTCCAACTGTGCGGGGCCCGGTGTTGTATCTCATTTCCCTCCTTCTGGGAACAGCAGTTATATGCATAAACATAAGGGACCAGCACCGCCACATACCATTTCACGGGAGCGACGGCCCCTGGCTTGCAACCCCCTAAGCACGGACATAGCTACCGTTGCCGCAGTGACATCTAGTTGGTAAAACTGAACAAATGTGTGCGGTGACGCCCAACTAGCTGCCGCACAAATGTCTTCCACAGACACCTCTCTAAACAATGCCCATGACGTCGCCATGCCCCTTGTTGAGTGCTCACACACCCCTGCAGGCAGGGCCAACCCTCCGCTTTTGTATGCAATAGAGATTGCCTCCACAATCCAGTGCGCAAGGCGTTGCTTAGACAGCGGCTTCCCCCGAACCGGTTTGGCAAAACATACAAACAGCTGATCAGAAGAACGCGTAGCCCGCGAAGCCCACGTCTACTCCACATACATGCGCAGAGCCCGCACAGGGCACAACGCATGAAGCTTCCTGTCTTCCTCAGAGTTAATAGAGGGGTTTGACAGAGCGGGTAGCTTAAAGGAGAGCGCACTATACACCCCGACAAGACTTTAGCTGTATACGCTGCATTTGGACGCAACACCACTCTCGACCCATCCAACGCAAACAGCGTGGAATGGGAGCGACCCCCTTCGAACAATTCCTGCAGAAAGGTCAAAATCTCTTAAATCGGGCACTGATACGGTGATAAAGATTTCCCCTCACACCAATCTACAAACATGCGTCACTTCAACGCGTAAAGCCCTCTCGTTGATGGCGCTCTAGCGCTCTGAATTGTGGCCACCACATTGATAGGGAGCCCTGCCGCCATCAGATTCTCCCTCTCAGCGGGTAACCCCACAGAGACCAAAGCCCTGGCCGAGGATACAGAATCTGCCCCCCTGCCTGTGACAGCAGGTCCTTCCACAGGGAAAGACACCATGGCGTCCCTGACAGTAACGCCATGATGCCCATGAACCACGTCTTTGCTGGCCAGCAAGGTGCCACCAGAATCAGCGACAGACCCTCCTGATGCACCCGATCTAGAGTCGGCTGTATCAGATCCACCGGCGGAAACGCATACAGCAGGGTCCTGGGCCATACATGCGACAGAGCGTCCACACCCAGCGGAGCGCTCCTGTCTGTGATCGAGAAAAACAGCGGGCAGTGTGTGTTTTCCCCAGATGCAAAAAGATCCACTTCGGCCTTGCCGAACCGATCCCAGATCTGCGTTACTATTTGCGGGTGCAAGCAACACTCCCTGACCTGCGGACCACCCCTGGACTGCATGTCCGCCCCAACATTCAGATGGCCCGGGACGTGCACTGCCCTGAGTGACGCTAAACATTCGCTGCTCCACATCAGGAGCTTCCGTGTCAGCTGCAACAGGGGAAGAGAGCGAGTACCCCCTTGCCTGTTTATATACGACACCACTGTCGTGTTGTCTGTTCTTACTAACACAATTTTTCCCCCGTAAGCGCTGGGCAAAGTGTTTCAGCGCCAGACAAACAACTTTGTCTGTTCTTTCCGAAGTTTCAACAAGGATCACCACTGTGGGCTTTCTCTCGTGAAAAACTGTGGCGTGATGGTGATCTAGCAGCACGGTGAAGAGCTGAAGAACAAAGGGAATGACAGCAGGCGTGAATATAGGTGTCTTCAGCAGATGGCGCAAGATTCACTGCTCTGCTCTATTCTCCTCCCATCATATGACTCAAAGCACAGGAACAAACTTACACAACCTCTGATGCGTGTCATTTATTTCACAACTGCACTTTTGTGCATAAAGATTTAATTTCTATTAAAAACTGTTTAGGCCTTTTTTTTGTTATTTTAATGTTCCCTGTTGACTTATAATATTGGTAAAGTTTTTTTGTCATGTATTTGCAAAAAAATAAAAGTCAGTAAAGGCCATTTTTATGCAGAGGAACAATGCCCAGTTGCATAAAGCACCTTATATTTTCCCCTGGACTGAAGGTGTGATTTTCCCTTATGCCGAGTTCACACTGCACGATTTTAGCCCGATTATTCACTCGCCGACAGGTTTTGCGAAATCGCCGACAAATGCCTGAAATCGGAGGCAAATCGGTGCTCGTTCACGCGAGTGACAATCACGCAGTGTGAATTATCAAAGACGAGATCTGAGGGAATCGCCGACACGACGTGGACGCCCGTGAAATATTTGGCATGCTAAATATCTGGAGCTGTCGGCGATTCTTCCTATTGTAAAGTCATGCAGTGTGTAACCTCCTGTCGTCGTTCCATCGTGCAGTGTGAACACAGCAGCAACTGAATGCTACCCCAGATAGTCACGCAGTGTAAAACCAACAGTGATGCGACGTCTTTGAAAATCGTGGAGTGTGAACTTGCCATTATTTAAGGGAATGATTTAAGGGTGTTGCATATAATCCCTTAAACCCTAGGTCTTCAACGCTGCTCCTGGGGACCCACTGTCCTGCAAAGTTTATTTTCAACCTGCTTCAGCTCACCTGGCCTGTGATTTGTTTTTCAAATGATCTTGAAGAGCTTGATTTAGCTGGTTCAGGCGTGTTCGATTAGGGTTGGAGCTAAACTCTGCAGGACAGTAGGTCCCCAGAAGCAGGGTTGAAGATCTAGGTCTTAAAAAGTTATCTTAGGTATGGGAAACCATTAAGAGTTTTACGACAGTGACCCAGGTTTTGCCATTATAAAATTCTGTTGTTGCCATGGACATGCTATTTGTTAATAAAGATAGTGGTAAGTTTTCACAGAAAACAACATAACATGAATAAGGAAAACAAAAAAGAAAAACAAACATGAAATAGAAGGACCAGATGAGGCGAAAACTCAAATTGATACTTAACTCAAAATTAAAAATTCTGTCATTTACTCACCCTCGTGTCATTCCAAACCCATAATGCTTTCATCTTTGGAAAACAAATAAAGATATTTTTTAATATTCTCTCATCATTTCTGTCCTTTGAAAGACAAATGTAATCCATATGATTCAGGCTGTTTCGTAAGCTCAAACGTGCGCACAAGTGCAAGAACCAGTGAGGTTTTTGAGTTTCTGTTGACCATATAAGATATGTGGTATGCATATAATTTGATCAATGTTTATATGTGAATAAACACCTAAATTAAAATGTGTTTATCATATAAAGCGGCCAGTTGTGTCTCATTAGAAGACTTGGATTGACCCTGCTTGCCCTCTGTAACACTTTAGGTGAAGTTTTCCATACCTTATGTTATACTTAGGAAAATTACAGTTAAGGGGCTTTATGTGAGACTTATTTTTATTGGATTTCTTAAGTGAAAAATACTTAAGGGTTTCTTTAGGTGATCATAAACCCTAAGAATTTACCTTAAGTAACACTTAGATTAGATAGATATTTATTTATTTGTCCTTGAGGAAATTATTTTCCACAGTGATGCATACATAACAAAGAGACATAGAACTTTCAGACTTATACAAAATTATACAACAATAAACATCAAATCACAAACACTGACAAAGGCATAGCACACCAATGGCTGATCCTCTATGTGCATTGAAAGGATTGTTTGTTTAAAACACACATAGCTGTAGGGATGAAACTTTAATTATAACTGGCCTTTATACACATGGGTATTCTGTACCTACAGCCAGAAGGGAGGGGGATAAAATATTGATGAAGTGGATTATCAGAATCATGACGAATTGCCAACACTTTACAGATCATTAATGACTTAACAGTCAGATAAATTGGGAATTGAAACACCAATAATTTTGCTGGCTCTCTGAGTTATCTTTACAAGTTTGTTCTTATTAGTGAAAGCATATAAAAAAAAAAAAGATGGCACCATACAGAAGAACTGGTTAAATATTGCTAAAATACAGAAGAAGATGAGGTTTGACAGACAAATATTTTAATTTCCGGATAACAGTCTCTCTTATCAGTCTCTGTTGACAGAGCTTACAAATACCCAAAGGGTTATATTCTGCAACACCCCTAAGTTTAAGGGAAACCTTACACTTAATGTGCTTTATGCAATCGGGCACAAGTATCAACCACTCACTATTGCACATGAGTTAAGTGTTTTGAAAACACTATACATGACCGTTATTTACAGACAAAGCATTATGAAACTACCTACTAAATCTTTGTGATGTAGCTGCTGCCAGAACCAGTACAGTTGGCACTGCTTTATCTTTCAACAAAAGTTACTTTGTGAACCATGCATTACATTGTGCTGATTTGGCTATTTCTACCAGAATGGTGAGTCCATTAAAACACATTCAATCATCAATCTCCTTTTTCCATTTATTCAACATGCAGAAGTAGACATTTCTCATTGAAGGCAAGTCATGGTAATTGTTGGTTTCTGAGAAACCATAAACAAATAGAAACAATTAGTATATACAAACACATTACCATATCTCACAAATCATACATGAAATCTAAATCCAATAAATATCAATGAGAAAACAAATTTCAATATAAACAATATCAATCACATTAAACATAATCAAATAAACAAGCAGAAGAAACTTACATAGTCAACAACACAATTCCACTTAGGCCATGTCTGAATGGAGAGACGGCTTCCCACAAACAAACACTGTCCTGCATAGTAGTGATGTGACATTCGACACCGAGGCTTCGAAGCTTGTATCAAAAAAACGAAACATCTCACAGTGAAGCACTGTACCGGAGCTTGATTCATTTTGCCAAAACCACGTGATCTGTGACGTCCGAAGCTTCGTTTTCGCACACAACCACGTGACTGCTTCGTATTCTGATTCAAATAACGCGAACCACTTGCGCAGTTTCAGGTGTCACTGATAATCTTCGGTTATTTTGATCATAGCCTATATGCCTACAGCCTTGCCTATTTTCTGCAAATTTATTCACAGACTCGTGTATTCATATTGTGTAATACAATGACTGACATGAAGACTTATTTATATAGACTTCATATTTTCTTTGTGCTATGAAAACCTGTATAAAGCAAACTAATTTATTATCTGAAACCGTCCAAAAATGGCTGGGTCGTCTGGGACGCAAAGGCAGCTTTTTCCACCTTTTGACCACAAGATGTCGTTAGACTACTGACTGACTAGAAACTTCCAGACAAGTGTGTTGGAGCTGGTTGGAGCTACAATTTGCAGGATGTTGGCCATCCAGGAGCAGGATTGGACACCCCTGGTGTACAGTAAAATGGAAAACAATGAGGGACCTAGATTTAATATTTTTTTAAACAGAAGTGATAATTATTTAAATAGGTAATGAAATTTCTGTCCAGATGTCTTAGTGCTCATTTTAATCAGTGTTTTAATCACCTTTGTTTTATTATAGAGTGTCTATCTGTAATCTCACTGTTCATTGCTGTGAGAGTTTGTCATCAGCTCTTCAATCCTCAAACTGTGTCCTGAGAGAGCTGGATCTGAGTAACAATGACCTGAAGGATTCTGGAGTGAAGCTGCTCTCCTATGGACTGAAGAGTCCAAACTGTCAGCTGCAGATACTGAGGTCTGTAAGAACATATAAAAGATAATTTACAGTCAGTCTGTCACAGTGTTGATGTGTGTCTGTAGATGATCTGACTGTTGATGCGTGTGTTCTTCTGTTTTTCAGTCTTGCTGGCTGTAATCTCACTGCTCAGTGTTGTGAGAGTTTGTCATCAGTTCTTCAATCCTCAAACTGTGTCCTGAGAGAGTTAGACCTGAGTAACAATGACCTGCAGGATTCAGGAGTGAAGCAGCTCTCTAATGGACTGAAGAATTCAAACTGTCAGCTGCAGATACTGAGGTCTGATTTTTACATTGTTTCATTAGTTTTGTTGAAATAAAAGGAAACAAACCAAATAAAAGGAAACAAAGCAATGTGAAATCAAATTTAATTTGAATAGTGTTTTTCACAATCCAAGTGGTTTCCAAGCTGTTTTTCTAAAAATTGTGTAATGATGTCTTAAAGCCACAGTGAGCTGCCAAAGGTGAAAAATATTGTAAGATGTTTAAGTAGTGGGTGAGAAAACCTTTGAGAGGAGCCAATCCTCCTCTGAAATCACAATGAA